GAGGCAGCTGGAGCTGGCAATCTGCAGACAGGGAACACCTGTGCACACATCCCAGTATACCCTGTAGCTACCCTGAGCTGCCAGAAATTACTAAGAGCAGCCAAGCACACGGGACAGCCCTGATTGGGCAGGTGGTGCTAATGATGCCAGACTCTCCTACTCACTTGCCTACACAGTGGAGCATGGATGATATACCCATGGGGCCCCAGCATCAAGGTTGGCAGAGCTGTCTTCCCACCTCTCATCATCATGAACCCAGCCTACCATCTCCTCCCTTCACTTACGAAGCTCTACACAGAGTACCTGGACTGCAGGAAGAACAGTCTAAATGCTGCCCCAGAAGCTGCTGCATGACCATCAAGTGTGCCTTTGGAGTACAGTGGGAGATGTGGTGTCCGGTGGCTGTCTGCCTGTTACAAGAGTCCCATTGGTTAAGGTGTAGCCAGGAAACAACTAGCAACAAAGTGCACAGGAGGTCAGGGGAGATTAGAGGCAAGGGTTGTTTATAACCCTTGATGGGGTTTGGGGAGGGAAAGAGGGACAGCAATACCCATTGCAGTGAGCAGCGAGGTGAGGTAGAGGGTATGTTGATCCAAAGTTTGGGGGAGGGATTGGTTAGCTGTCCTCAGCAACAGAGGATGCTCTTGAGGGATAATCAGGGTGCTGTAAGTAAAGAAGAGTGACTTTCAAACTAAGTAACTGATTAAATGAGAAACACTAAAGGAAGTGGGCTGGGTGCCTCAAGTCTGTGTTAGATAAAATGTGGAGAATGGTGGTGACCGGTTTTGAGTGAATGGCTGCGGCCTCTCCGCCCAGCTCTGTGGGGCCCGTTGGCTGAAGGTTCCTCAGGATAAGATGGGCCAGCCCTGGGTTTCAGCCATTTTCAAACTGGTTGATGTGCACTGAACATCTGCTCTGTTACAGGTTTAAAGCAGTTTTTGATCACTTAAACCTGTTTATGTGTAGTGTCTGTCCCTAGCCCCAGCATTTCTACCACACTAAGCACAATTCTATGGATACAAATGTAACACTTATACACATCCCTGGTTAAGTGACCAGAACATAGACTTTATTTAGGAAAAAACATCCCAACATTGAGACTTCATCACAACCTGTAGATTTACAGCTCAAAAAAAATATCCTCAGCTAAACCCACTGTATTCTGTCTACCAAATGACATTAAACAAATACACATGCTGTGGAATACCCTTATACACAAAAGAGTTAGTGCCTCAAAATCTTAACTAATATGTATATTAGATCTAAAATACAGAATATGTTTCACATTAAATGGGAAAGCAGTGGTTTTTTATCAGTTTTCTAAAAATAATAAAAGAAATCTGATTTGTGTAGTTCACAAGGGTTCTTCTGTAAGAGAGAACATGCATGTATGACACAAAACTGGAATATATTTATAATTCAAGATAAGCAAATGGCTCCTTTTAGTCAATGGATGGGATCTGAGAAGTGAAAAGCTGAACAGAAAAATCTGAATCTGGTTTGAACCATGGGCAGCAGAACTGTAAAGATTCTGACATTTATGTAATTCCCAGATTTTGAGAAACAAGTTAAATTTTGTAAATATTTTATCTTTAGTCTTAAAGCTGTTATTTTAATTAATTTATAAGTAAAAAAGCTTTTCATGATCTTCTTTTATCAAATGGGTGAAAGAAAATATCTACTCCTGGAAAAAAAACCTACCTGCTTATGCCATATTATTTCCTGCACCATCATATTTGCTTTGAAATATATTACGGGATACAAAATTGATTACATCATTCTACAGCCATATGAAATCTCCTGACTCCAGTACAGACTCTGGAATAAGCAAGGAAAATATTCTAAATATACATCATTCTACACCTGCATAACGTCTTCTAACTTCAGCAGAAATTGTACATCAAGGAAGGAAAGCCGTGTAAGCATTCATTGCTAGGGACTTATGCATTTAGAGTGAAGTCAAGGGAATTTTTCTGTAGTAATAAAAAAGTCAGTTACCTTAATATAATGCCCATGTCTGTGGCTTTCGAGATATCTTTTCTAGTCATGTATTATGAAAAATTGGTGTTTAATATGATCTACGTGGAATGAAGTTAATGTTTGTAATTAGAATTGAATATCTACCTCCACAGCAAGCCGTTCTATACAGTTGGACTCTTCCTTAATTTATGTAATGTTTCTGTGCAACACAGATTTTAAAAAATAATAATATTCCAGTGCAATTAAAATATTGTTGCAGCTGTGATGATCCAGCAAATGTATGAGAACTGAAGGTTTGGGACTGATATTTTTTATTGGACCAACTGTATAGTTGGGAGAGACATTAGACAAATTTATGTATACGCACTGCCCTTCTTCAGGTCTCAGCAGAATCAGACATTTACCTGAGGTAAGTAGCAGACACACCCTTGCCTTTTAAATCATTTTGTGTTTTCATGCTATAGAATTAAAGTTTTTTGAAATATTAGATATGGAGTGGCCTGATTCTTTTTAAGAATCATTAAATATCATTAAGAAACATTAAACCTCTTTACACAAATCTTGTAGGAAGTGTATCCTGCCTGAAACACAAATGGCTGCTGTGCAAATAAATAGATTGAAAAATGTATGTTACATAGAAGAAGGGATTTTAAATAACATGTACATTACAGTTATTGTCTTTAGGTTCTAAGGGCACTTTTACATGTGGTCCAACGCATTCTGACTAGATCAATCAAGTCTGCTGGAAAGGTCTAATCAAAACTTTCCAGCATGCTGCAGCATCTTGTTCATTCATAGTCCCCATATTTCAAAATGGCAGTGGGCATGCTTTAACTAAAGTTTGTCAAATGAGCTTTAAAGCACTGCCTGTCACCATTTTGAAATGAGGGATGCTGAATACGTGAGAGGCTGCAGGAATTTTAATTAGATTGGCTACTGAGAGCTGCTCTAACTAAAATACTTCCCCCACACCCTGGGGAACGCATATAGGTATCCTAAGAGTGGTTAAGGGGTCTTTGCCTATGAAAATTAAGTTCACAGACTGTCATAAAAAATTGTTTAAGAGAAAAATAATACAGGTGTTAGAAACAGAGAAAGAAACTATTTGGCATAGACTATTTGCCTGGTAATGCAGGATTGTTCTCTGCAGTGCAATATTTAAGGTCTGGTCCAAATGGCAAGGTCAATGGCAGTCTTTCCAGTGATTTCAAACTGCTTTGGATTGTCCACTTAATATACTGAGAGCAGTAGCTAGCCATGTTAGTCTGAAGTAAGGCAGAAGGCAGGGGAGAGACTAGGGGTATGTGAAGTGGGCCCTATTCAATTCGGATTCAGATTTAGCCTGAATCAGGGACAGTGGTTTGGTTCATTGATTCGGACCACTGTCCCTGATCCAATTCAGTCGAATCCAAATGTGAAGATTTGATGCTGATTCAGAGAATCAGTGATTTGGACATAGACACAGCTTTCAATGTTTTTTCTACATACCTCGAGGTACCAGCACAGCTTGTGCTTGCTGCGATGCTGGGGTGCATGGAGCATCCCACAGGAGTGCAGGGGTCCTTCCACATGCTCAGCAATGAACTCAAAAGTGGACTGGATGTACTTCTGGTTCACTTCCAGATCCACCGGAGAGAACATGGGTGGGCCCCTCTGGGTCAGTGATCGGCCCTGGGGGGGGCCCTGGGTACCCCCCCCCAGACCCAGGAGGCACCAGTTGCCGAGCTAGGGGAGCATGGGGAGCCCCCAGAGTGCTCCCCTGCAGACCCAGAAGTGGACCGGAAGTGCTTTTGGTCCGCTTCCAGGTCTGCTGCTGAGCATGCTGGGGAACTCCCAATGCTTCTGTGATGCACTCCATGTGCCCCAGCATGACAGCGTTCATGAGCTGCCTGCTACCTAGAGGTATGTAGAAAAAACATTTAAAGCCGTGTCTATGTCCGAATCACCAAATCTCTCCAAATAGAGTCAGAGGGTTCCAATTCGATTCGGAGAGATTAAAGGGTCTCCTGATTTGATTCGGATTCAGAGATTCAGCCACTGAATCAGGCTGAATCAAATCAGGTACCAAAGCTTTGCATAGCCCTAGCAGAGACACATCTTAGAGTACATGCAGAAGTTACACTTCCATCAACCTAACTAGGGTTAGGTCAAGCTAAGTGCTGGTCACAACAGATGTTCAGGGAGGTTAGACTGGGCAAAAAAAGACCAGTCCAATCCAATTTAGGTGACATGAAGAGGGACCTAAGTTAGACTGGGAACAGGTTAGTGCAATCTAATGAATATCTGTATACATTTGGAGCACAGCCCCAGGACTGGGAAAGCTGAGCTACTCACCACAGCCCCAGGGCTGCCTCTTTTTCCTCCCTGCCACCATGACCAAGCTATTTTTACTCCCAGCTCTATAAAGACAACCCCCTATGGACCCAATAACGCCCTGATCCCAGGAACCAATCCCTACCCCCCGAACCCACCCACCTCTCCCCCTGCCCCAACTTTCTTAGATCAGGTTCCTGGTATGGCTTCCTATTCCATAACATCTGCACAAACCAGACATGCTCTATGATGCCACAGATTAAAGTTAGTCATATGATTGTAGACTGGGTACCACAAACAAGTTCATGTGCCCTTATAGACTAATTAAATAAGTTATATATATATAGAAAGAGAGTACAAGGTTTCATGAATTCAAGAGAACTCAAGTTTATAAAAATTCATACTCTATATGTTATTTAGTCTATGAGATGCATGTCTACACTGCCTTCTACATAAATGTTTTACCACTCTAGTGTTAGTGAGGAATTACTATTCTATGAGTTAATTTTATGCCTGGAAAATTTCCTGTTATTCAATACAAACATTTCTTTTTTCAGATTTCATGCATCTATGATTGCTACCTACCCCATTTCCTTTTCAAAACTTACCACTCTAAATCATTCTTACTAATTAAATATTGGTAGGCCTAAACAGTGCCCTTTGAGCATTTTTACATAGATCTGTGTAACAGGATGCCCCAATACTTATCTGTTCCATCTGCAGAGAGTTTACCTGTGTCGGTTAATTCTCAGGCTGGATCCTGGGACTCAGTAGGTGCAGGTTGGACAGGGAGGCTGAGCTGGGATCATTGAAGAGAAACACCTGGTGGAGAACCATGATGCAGAGTCCCTGGAGTCATATGTTCCCATGACAGAACTTTATTGGGCCACTGAGCTTTTGGGAAAAAGAAAACATGGGGCTGGGCTCTTGGGTGCCCCCAGAGAGGGGAACACACAGCTCCAAGTAGGAGAGGGCTACAAATATCCATGTGAAGATGTGAACCAGAGCATCAGGAAAGCATGGAGCTGAGGCGCACTGCAAATGGCATAGACAGAGACAAACATGGAGCAGCTGGGCAACACTGAAAAGACAGGAGGTAGAGGCCACATGGAATAGTGTGTCAGCATGCATGGTGAGCCACAGTATTTTTTCTTGCTTTGTTTATTATTAAGTATTAGGGGTGTATGAAATTTTGGCGGATGTTGTGTTTCGGATTCAGACTTTTCAGCAGCCGAAACATTGAATCCAAAACAAAACACAAGGCTCCAAAACGGTTCCAAAACTAAATGAGCCATCCAAAACATTTTGGATATTTCCTAAATGTTTTGGATGTTTCGGACTGTTTTGAACTGTTTCGGAGCTATTTCGTAGGCAGGCCTGCAGGGAAAGAGAAACTAAGAGGAGGAGAGGAGGGGGTGCGGGGAGGACTGCTCCTATCTCCTTGAAATTTGGCAGGCTTCATGGCCTCATAAGGAGCTAGCATCCCTGCAAGTTTCATCCAAATCAGGTAAGAAACTTATATGCAGTTTTGTGATTCCCTTTATAGTCTATGGCTGAAACACTGTTGAAATTCCACAACATAGTTTCATAGTTGGTAGGGTCAGAAGAGACCTGAGCAGATCATCAAGTCCAAACCCCTGCCACGGCAGGAAAGAGTACTGGGGTCAAATGACCCCAGCAAGGTGATCATCTAGCTTCCTCTTAAAGACCCCCAGGGTAGAAGCCAGCACCACTTTGCTTGGAAGTTGGTTCCAGATCCTAGCCACCCTAACAGTGAAGTAGTGCCTCCTGATGTCTAGTCTGAATCTACCCTCTGTAAGCTTGTAACCAATATTTCTTGTCACTCCTGGCAGTGCTCAGGGGAACAGGGACCCTCCCAGTGCCTGCTGGTCCCCTCTGACTAGTTTGTAAACGGCCACTAGATCCCCCCTCAGCTGAAGGAGACTCTTTTAGACAGAAAAGTGGCAGGCAAACCCAGCTCCAGGGGGATGAAGGGAGTGTAACATCTTCCCAGTAAAGAAGACAGAAAGCTACAAGAGATCCTCTCAGATGACCCTAAGGACCAGACCTAGGGAGGAGGTCTGTTACAGATATGGGTTACCAGGACATATCACAAGGAATTGTCCAGAAGCCCCAGGAGAATGGAGGGCATGGGAAGAAACAGGCTGAAGCCCAAGGGAATGACAGATGGAAAATACCTGTGAAGACCAAATGGACTACAGCTTCAGATACCAGCAGGGGGCATCCACGGCACCAAAACTGATGGTTGATGACAAGTTGGGAACCCTAATCATACTCACCATCATAGATACAGGGTGTGCTCAAATAGCATTAAAGACAGAACTGGTGACCTCTCAGCTGGCTAAAGAAGATACCCCAGTTAGTATGCTGTGCATGCACAGGGAAACTTTTACCAATCAGAAAAGAAGACTCATGTTAACTTTTATGGGATGAACAGAAGAGATACCAGTAAGGCTGGCCAAGAAGTTGCCATGCCCAGTGCTGCTGAGATGGGACTGGCCTCATTTCCATGAGGTAGTAGAACAAGTTCTGGAACAGAAAAGCCCCAATGGAGGATAGTTAGGGATAGAGGCATCTGGGAGCAAAGGATGACATGTCTGATTCAGTGGCTGAGGAAGAACAGCAGGAGGTGATCAACTTAGAATAAATCATCAGAGATGCACAGTTCCAGGAAGAGCAGATTCAAGAAGATACGTTCCAGAACATGTACAAGAGTGGCCTAGTCAAAAGTAAGAAAAACGTCCTACGCCAAGAGCTGATGAACACCTATCCTCATTTTGAGGTAAGAAAAGATTTATTAGATTGAATGGAATGGAGACAGATGGAAGGAGAAGAGTTAGCATGAGACTTGGTGCCTCAAAGGTACAGACTTATGCTGCTGCGAATGGCACATACCCTTCTGATGGGTAGACACCTTGGACAGGATAAAACTGAGGCTCAGTTTGTAAATAGGGTTTATTGGCCAGAGTTACATTAACAAAATGAGAAGTTTTGGCAAGCATGCTCCAAGTGCCAACAGGTATCTGATATCTTACCTCAGCAAGTCCCATTATTCCTGTTGCCGATTGTACTTTGAGAGGGTAGCACTGGACACCAAGAGGCTCTTCTCTAAGAACACAGAGGGGCATCAGTTTGTTTTAGTTTTCACCAACTATGCCACACAATTTCCAGAGACAGTCCCAATGAAATCACTTACAGCTCCTAAAATTGCATAACTGATTAAGTGGATCTCCAGGGTGGAAATACCCTAGGAAATTCTAACAGATCAGAGGACCAATTTTATGTCAGGCACATTAAAGGCCATATGTAATACCCTCAAGCCAAGGCATCTCCTAACATTTATTGTGTCACTCACAGACAGATGTTGAGCAATTCAACAGGACTTTGAAAGAAATGCTGAGAACCTGTATACAGGGAGATCCTAGGAAATGGGACTAGTTGACACCCCTTTTGTTTTTCACTATCTGGGAGGTCCCTCAAATATCAATGAGCTGTTTTCCCTTTGAGGTAGTTTATGGAGATAAACTGCAGGGCATCATAGATGTAGTATGTGAAGAGCAGGTGAATCAGGAGCAATCCAGGGACAGGACTCCAAAGCATGTACTAGAGTTCAGGGCACATGTCTACATATTCATTAGGGCACCAAAGTTACTTTACATTAAGTTTAGTACTTGGATAACTACTGCTGCCCAGTAGCTCCAGCACGCAGGGTTTTAGTGACAATAACTGTACAATAGCCTAAAACTACTGCGCAGTAGCATATTAGCATGTTTTTTGCCCAGCATGGTACTGCATAGTGTTGTTAGGCTACTGCACACTTAGCATTAGACCTGTGCAAATAGGAAAGTATTCGATTCAGATTTGAATTCAGCTGATTCAGATTCAGCTGATTCCATCTGGAGATCCAAACCACTTTTATAATTCAATTCGGCTGAATCGATTCAGAAATGTTTCGGAAAAGATTTGGCGATTTGGAGATTCGGCCATAGGGTATAATGGGGAATCAATGAAATATCTATAACTTTGTTTGTTTTTGGATGATTCAGATGAAATTTTCAGGGATGGTAGCCACTGCTGAGGGCATGAAACCTGCCAAGCTACAAGGCACTTGGTGCAGGGATTTCTGGGAAACTGCACCTCAAATCCTGAAAGCAAAACTCATGTCACATGTGTGTGTTAAGCCACAGCGAGGTGAAAATTGCAGGGATAGTAGCACTTGCTGAGGCCACAAAGCTTGCCATGTTTCAAGGAGATATGTGCAGGGGGTTCTGGGAAGCTGAGAATCTTTTCCGAATCTTTTCCAAATCGATTCAGAAGCTCCGAATAGATTCGGAAAGCCTAAAGCTTCTAGTGATTTGATTCGGATTTATAGATTTGGCCCCAAATCATCCAAATTATCTCTGAATCTGAATCATGATCCAAAGCTTTGCACAGCCCTACTTAGCATCTCATGTAGATGGGTCCAGAGACCCATTGGATAAGGTAGGTCATGTAGCCCAAGAAAATTTAGAAAAGAGTCGAGATCAGCAGAACTCTCAGCACTTGTAAACCTGGCTTGTAATAGAAATTATATTAAAGAAACAACTGGGCTATCTGGGAAGAAGGCACATTCAGAACTGCCCAAAATGGTTATGCTAACTGAGTCATGTTCATAACTTATTTGACTCTCTTCAATGAGATCCAACCCACTGCCTATTAGCCTCTATATATCATACACCTGAATTTTTCAATTCTTCCTGCTAACATCTATACAGTTCAAAGGCTGTCAGAAAGAATTATGCATTCATAGCTACATGGAGATTAGGATAATGTCATACTTCTCTGTGTGCTGTCTATTCATTCTGTCTTCTAAAACTAATAATGCATTTCATAAATCTATGTCTGCTTCCACCCAGCAACATGACAGCATTAATATTTAGATATTCATATAGAACTATCATTATATCCATAGTCACACAGTCACTGCTTGGGAGATTTGCAAATAATAGGTTGTTTGACCTGCCTTACACCAATTTTGTTTTTGTTGAAAGAGGAGGGTTAGAGCTTCAAAAGCAATTACAGTAAACACCCTGCCTTTTAAAGACTTGACTCAACAGACAGATATTGTCCATTCTGATACTTACCACAATTTTTACTAAATCCACAAAATTGGACCACATCTTCAACTGGTGGACTCCATTCTGGGAGAGCTAAATCAGTTTACATCAGCTGGGAATCTGGCACAACAATTTTAAAAACTATCTTGTATATTTTTTTAACATAAACTGCAATGTTATGCTTAGAAAATAGTTTTGCCAAGCAATATTTAAAAATGTAAATTCAGCATGCTGTACCTCTCCCATAGTTCTGTAAGAAGGAAGAATTTATAGGAGACACCACGTCTTTACTCTGTTTGCACAAGGCTAGAATGATAACTGCAGTTGGAACATCACTGTATATGGTTCACTAAAAAAAACAGCCTACTTAGCACAGACTATTTCTGATGCATGGAGCATGAAACATGGCAGCACAGTCTAAGTTTACTGAAACCTGCAGCAAAGAGAAGAGTGTGATAAACAAAAAAAAATCATTACCTGAAAAGAAGCAAAATGAAGTACTAAGATTATCAGAAAAGCTTGATTGCCAGGAAAAAAACGAGAGAAGTGATAAAAAAACCAAAAGTTTTGTTACCAAATCAGTAACTTCTGAAATACC